TCTCGTCGCTCCGGCCGGAAACGGCATCAACAGTATGGTGAGGGGTGTAACATTTCTGTCACACGCTTGAAGTATTCGGCCAATCACAATGCACTGGATAGCTGGCCAATCACAGCACACCTCGCTTTTCAGACCGATGAGCTTTGTAAAAATCTACGCGGTTCAGAAAGGCGGGGCATAGAGGAGAAACAATAATGTACAGTATGTGGAAAATAATGTGTTTTTTTTACTTTAAACCACATAAACACATTTCATTACACCAAATACACAAAATAATGTTAATTTTAGCAGCATCATATGACCCCTTTAATACCATGGTATTGTGATATACAACATTGAACTGAATATTTACAATTTTCATATGCTATAGTAGTTATGTCGTACTTTGCAAAGTAATTCAAAGAATATGGTAACGTTACCTGTCGACAAAAACATGGTAGTAAATTAGTTTTACTGCATTTTACTGAATCATGTTGTTAACAGGTCTAAAGACACAAACTGTGAAAAGTGTTGGTTTCATAAAAACCAGTATAACAATCATGTATAATATTAACCGTAGGTTACCCTAAAATACCACAGTAACTACAGTTAGGTACTATTAGACTATACATCACATATAGTTATAGTATTAATAGATCTCCTTATATGCTCTCTTTTGGATATACAGTACGATAGTAACTTATCTCGGTGGATATTTACCATGGTAAATGTTTGTAACAATGTACAGAGCAATCCAAAGAGCTAGTCTACGAACCGTCATCAGAACGCACCGATTAAACGTTACAACTCATTGAAATCGATCGCAGTTCTGTTAAAAGAGCAGATATAGCACGAGACCGATCCGAGTCACTTCTCTCCGCTAAAAAGACGGGACTGACTGGATTCTTACCCGTTCTGAAGTCCAAGTCTCCGTGATTTCTTGCCGAAAGCTCCAGAGGGTCCGCGAGCCCGTGTGAATGATGTGTCAGTTCTTCAGCGTTCGTCAACATCAGCAGCGCGAGACGCGCGGGAACTCCACGACACCGACTACCGGTGGCTCGCGCTGCTGACAGACCAGCTCAACCACATAGTGGCTTTAGTCAGGTGACTTAGAACCTAAATAAATACATGCAAACAACGATTAACTACCTACACAAGGGTAGTTCACATATTTAGTTTATAAAATATGAATATTTATAAAATAAAATAATTTATTGTAAACAATTATTGCAATTTATTAAATAATAGTAGACTTGTTTTATGATTCTAATTGAACAATTAATAATAATAATAATAATAAATAGCCCATTAAACATTTTAAACAGAATTGTTGGACTGCTTTACTTTATATATATTTATATTTATTTATTTATTTTAATATATCAGTTATTTTATTATTAGAGTTTTTGTAACTGTTTTGAATTTTCTGTTTCCACCTTAATTTTAGTTAAAGCAATATTATTGTGTTTTTGTCATTTTTGTTAGGTTTTTTTAATATCGATATAGATTTTATCTATTTTTATTTATTAGTTTATTTAGTTTTATTTATTTAGTACTTCAAGTTAAACTAAACTAAAATGAGAATGATGTTGCCTCGGCCACTGGCTGAAATCAAATCTTTTTTTAATGTATATATTTTAGTTAACATTTATTTTATTTCGAGCGACAAAAATGTTTTTATGGTTTTAGTTTTTATTAACTATAATAACCCCGCATATGGTTTAAATCTTTTACTTTATTCTTCTTAAATTATTGTCAATAAACAACATAATCACAACTTGTGACAACATGCCCCACTATTCAAAAAAGTACCACCACAAAGGCAATGCCATGAGATACACTTGGAATACCATGGTATTCTCTGACGTACCTCACAGTACCATGGTACATATATGGTAAACAAAGAGGACCATGGTACAAATCAATGTAGGACTACCCTATGATACCATTACTAAACTTGGACCATTTATATTGCACATACTATCAAAAATCTTTAATAACTAAAATAATTTGGTTAGTTAAGCAGTTTTTTTTTTACAGCTTTCAAATCTTCAGATGAATTGAGTCACCCTCCCTCAGACTAGTGTGAAGAGAGAGGACGAGGAGAAAAGACAGAAAGCGAGAGAAGGTGTTCTTTGTGGCCAGAGTGAATGTCTCATTCATGTGTTGGGCAGAGGTCACGACCCCTGAGCTCCTGTGCTGGTGCGAGTTACGTACATTACAGCCAAAACTTGTGATTATTTTAACCTTTTATGTATGTGTCTTGTGGCTAAATGGGACTACAGAGCTTGTCAGGGACTTAAAAAAACTCATCTAGTCTCTATAGTCTGCTCTCACAGCCTTATTGTGTTTATAATAATACTTTCTAGTTTTAAATAAATACTGAGAGTTGTCGGAAACGTAAAGGTTGTGAAAAGTCATGTGACCGTTTATAATTCATTTATAGGATTTGTTTAGTTTCCTACGCTGTAAAAAAAAATCCGTAAAATTTACAGTAAAAAACACGGTAGCAACGTTTTAGGTTTTACGGTTTTAACTTAAATTTACAGTTAAATACCGTAATTTCATTAACTGATATAATGTTAATATACCAACCTATTGAAGTAATGAAATCTGTTTTGTACATTTGTAATACACTGATAACCACCAAATGCAGGAGGTGATGAGAAAGTCACATGATGAACCAAAGCCCATCACAAGCAGCTTTTAGATAATAACATATATAGAAGGTGCACAGTGTCATTCACACAAACACCAAACACCATCACGGTAACACATATGAAACTGAAATAATGCAATAAACATTCATTTAACAACATTAGATGTAACACACAACCCTATTATACAAAACTGATAAGAAAAAACTAAGAAGAAACATAGTTATTTCAACAAAAAAACATCAAATTTGAAATGTAACGCAGGGAATTCTGGGAATGTTAATTTACGGTTATTCACTGTAAATTATACGGTCTTTTTCACTTCCAAAAACGGTATACTACCGTAAAATTAATGTCTAATACATGTAATGTCCAATACAGTTCTTCACTGTATATAGTAGGGGAATTTACCGTTAACCATTTAACAGGCTTTTACTGTAGCATTTTTACAGTCTTTTACCGTTAAATTCAGTCATTTTTTACAGTGTACTTCTAGTGACTGTGTTTAGGCCTTCAAAAGTTGTGTTTATTTGTGAAGATCATCTTGATGAATAAACGTTTTGTCAGTTACTGCGCTTAATTTCTCCAATAATCCAAATCCAATGGAAAAATCCTATTGGTTTTTGTCGAGGGATGCAGGATGATACGCACTTCCTCGCTGGACTACAAAAAACATCATCACTGCAGCGTTTTATGTCAGATAAACTAATGTGCATTTCTTCAGAATTTTCTCATTCCAATTGTTTGGTCCTTATTTTATTAAACAATACACAATTTTCAATGACGTGAGGAAATTAAAGGGATAGTTCTTCACCCAAACATAAAAATCCAGTCATCATTTATTAACCTTACTCAACCATGTTCCAATCCAGTTTCTTCTGTTGAATGTTGGTAACTAAACATTTGATGGTCCCCATTGACTTCCACGCTATTTTTTTCAATAATATGTTAGTCAGTGGGGACCAGCAACTGTTTGGTTACACACATTCTTTAGAATATCTTATTTTATGCTCAACAGAAGAAAGAAGCTGGATTGGAACTTGAGGGCGAGCAAATCTAAATGATGACAATTTTCATTTTGGGGTCAACTATCCCTTTCAAAAAGAAAAAAACATCCTTCTTTAATTTGATAAAATAACACCAACATAAGTTTCCAAAGTGCTGTTCACACATAAGCATCTTCTAACAGACCATCCTTCATTCAAAACACATCAGAATTGCTTTTCCTTCGAGTATATGTCATTTATATCTTTGTAAATATGTGATATTTACAAAGATATTTGTGATAAATATGTTCATTTGCAAAAACCGATAACTCGACAAAAACCGATAACATTTTTATTTTTTTCAGAAATCACGTTTTTTTATTGCGCATTCCAAGTAATATCAAACAAACTGCAGTTGGGTTGTTTGATTAAGTAATAATAACTTAAACAAATACAGGTAATTTACTAAATTAAAGTTCATTGAAAGTATGTTTTTTTTACATATTAAAAGTTTGTTTTATAGCAAAAGCAGACTCCAACAGTCGTTTTTTTGGCAAAAGCAGATAACAGATAATTTCATGTTTTAGAGTTTAAATAAACACTGGTTTAATCTTTGCAATCTCCTCAGATGACATTGGTTACACACATTCTGTAGAATATCTTATTTTATGCTCAACAGAAGACAGAAGCTGGATTGGAACTTGAGGGCGAGCAAATCTAAATGATGACAATTTTCATTTTGGGGTCAACTATCCCTTTCAAAAAGAAAAAAAGATCCTTCTTTAATTTGATAAAATAACACCAACATAAGTTTCCAAAGTGCTGTTCACACATAAGCATCTTCTAACAGACCATCCTTCATTCAAAACACATCAGAATAGCTTTTCCTTCGAGTATATGTCATTTATAACTTTGTAAATATGTGAAGAGTTCATTTGCAAAAACCGATAACTCGACAAAAACCGATAACATTTAAATTTTTTTCAGAAATCACGTTTTTTTATTGCGCATTCCAAGTAATATCAAACAAACTGCAGTTGGGTTGTTTTGATTAAGTAATAATAACTTAAACAAATACAGGTAATTTACTAAATTAAAGTTCATTGAAAGTATGTTTTTTTTACATATTAAAAGTTTGTTTTATAGCAAAAGCAGACTCCAACAGTCGTTTTTTTGGCAAAAGCAGATAACAGATAATTTCATGTTTTAGAGTTTAAATAAACACTGGTTTAATCTTTGTAATCTCCTCAGATGACAATGTAGATGCCTGACAAACGTTGTTGTTGTTGTGATCATAGCAGATCATAGCATATCAGAGCTTTTCCCTCTCCATTGTAACACGCTGCTTTTGCAAAGTTCCGTGAAAACGTTTCAGCTTTTATTTTCCTTTTTCGCCCTGAAGAAGATATCACAGGTTCATCAAGTTTGTCGAAATGCTCCATCCTCGATCACTTTTAGTCAGCTTTGACGAAACTTCATAGCATGTCTTTTCAAAGTGAAAGTAGCCTTGTCACCTGACCTGAATACAGCGCGCTGATTCGCTAAAATGGACTTATCGGCTTCTGTTCAAAAACAATAAGTGTGCTTGTCGGCTTCTGCGGTAAAACGTGAACTCGCGATGCACATGGACAAAACCGGCTTTTTTGACAAAACATGTTTAGGGTTCAAATCGCTCTATATGTAGAGAATAATGCACGGCAATCAGCTCTGTTTTTTTTTAAGTGGCGTTTATCGGTTTTTGCAAATGAACTCTTCATGTGTTATTAAATTTTTTTCTTATACTTCAACAGCTGTTTTCACTGTGCATTTATATTTTGAGAGTGTGAGCGTGTTTCTTGCAAAGCGGTTTGTCCTTTTTGGAGAAGAAGGTCTGACCCTCCAGACTGACGCTGCACACCTGAAGAGAACACAGCGGTCATTTATCACACAGCACTCAGTGAACACACAAACACTCTCAGCTGAGCCTGAACACACACTCACTGAGCACACGAAGCAGGTGTCGTGCCAGGTGCCGCCCAGGGCCTCCAGAAACTTGTCTCCTGCTTCTATCGGGAAATCACAACCACGGCAGCCCGTCCCAAACTGACTGTAGTAATCTAAACACACAATTACAAAACTACTAAAACATAACTCAGAGACACTTTAAATATCAACTTTGTCTCTGATGTTTCTTCTAAAATTCCTTAGTTGTAATTAAAATATACACAAAAGTGGCAACTGTTGCCATAATGTAAGAGTACAAAACTAAAAAAAAAAAAAAAGAATCTGGATAGTATACACTATGCTTTCATTCAGCAAGAAATTGATCAATAAATAAAGACATTTATAAGGTTACAAAATTTCTATTTCAAATA